GTGAGGCAAAGACAACTTTTGGTTATCAGTGTTAACTGCTATACATGGCATGAATTTATCATTGTGCAAAGTCTGTAAATTCATGATAGTGAAAAGGCAAATCATTAATACTAGAAAGCCACTTTCGGCTTTTCCCGTTTAGAGGTCGCCACAGCAAATCGTCACACTGACGACTCGCATGTTGACATTTGGCACGTGTTTTACGCCTGATGCCCTTCTTTTAAAATAAATTATTGCAAACAGTTTGTCAATTTGAATGCCAACAGCTGGGCGGTTGGCGCTATGGCAATACTGAACAGTTAATACTTTCAAAATATTCCAGCAAACATACACACACAACCTCAACCACACAAATATTTCCTAGGCACCTTTGAACAAGGCTTCACTCAGCTACCCTGGTGGTGCTGTTCAAGGCAAACAGAAGATAGCTGCTGAATGCCAACACATAGCTGTAAATCATGTGTTTGCTTGTCACCTACAGTGTGATGGAACAGTGTTGGTACTTACAGTAACATGCATTTAAAAAAACACAAGTAGACTAGAGGAACAAATACTGAAGAAAAAGTCCAAGCATATCTTGAAGTATTTTTGAAGAACTGCTATATACAAAAGTATAATATATACACAGTACATAATCACATGGGCTTATGGATAATGAATGTTCACGACTTTGAGTGGCAGAGGTGTCCAGGAAGCACTGAGGACTAATGTTTGCTGTGATTTGTCTTTACAACAGCTGGACATGACGTTCCACCTGTTCATCTGTGCCCTCGCTGGAGCAGGAGCTGCTGTTATTGCTATGGTACCAATAAAACTCACCCCTCCCTCTCAAGGGGCAGAATCTCAAAGCAAAACTTAAAACATAATCAAACATTTTCAAGCTCAGGCAAAAAAACAGAAGATGCTATTTCTGTGACAAGTATTTCCTGGCCGGAGTTTTAATTTTATCTGATGTTCTTCATAGAAAACTGATTTTGCTTTAGTGTTTCTGCAGTAGTAATGGTTAATGATTTTTTTTAACTAAAGATAACTGAGGGGAGATACTGTAGCTGAGAAAATGGCTGGCTTCTGTTGTGGCTGGTTTATGCCTGGCCTGTGTTGGTTTTGGCTGCGAGAGAATAGCTGTAGATGGCAGAGAAGGTATTTTAGCGCAGTGAAAAAGACAGGGTTTGTCTCCCTCCCTTTTTCGGAGGCGCCAGGCATGTCATGGTGTTGTCATGGAAACGAGGAGAAGAAAGGCTCGGCGATTGTTGCAAACATCAGTAATTTGTAAGGAGCCATTTTCTGAGAAACAAAAAGCGCTTGCTAGTCAGAGATGATGGTGCACATAGTAGCAGGACTCTTTTTTGCCCCCAAGGTCTCATTAATTCTCCAGTAGATGGTGAAGAAAATTCATTACAACAGATACACTAATGCATCAATAATGAGCTGCCCTCAGCTTCAAAGCCAGAGACACAAAATTATTTAAAATTGCCCCATACTCAACAATTGACCCTGAGGGTCAATTAGAAAAAGCTGTATTTTCGGTGTTTGAATCTTTGTTGCCTATTTGTAATTGGTCTGTCTGCATATCAGACACAAAGAGCAGTGCAGCTATGAAACTGCAGCAACTTGTGAGAAGAGAAGCTGTGTTACAACCTCCATGATTAAAGCACAATACATTCATTATAACCGTAGCTGTCATGGTAACCCAAGTCCAAGATTACATTTAGCATTATGCTGCCACCTGCTGGAGCACTGGAAATGTCCTCTTAAATTTAAAGGGCCAGTCTCCTCAGTCAAGGTTTATATGATTTCACAGATCCACTACTTGATGGTGCTGTCTGCCAACTGGGCCTATGTGAAGGACGCCTGCCGGATGCAGAAATACGAGGACATCAAGTCAAAGGAGGAGCAGGAGCTTCACGACATCCACTCCACCCGCTCCAAGGAGCGTCTCAATGCCTACACATAAAGCCCAGCGCGAGGCCTGGCCCTGCCACTCCAGCCTCTCTCCCTCTATCTCTCCCTCCCGTCTTTCTATCTGTATCTCTCTACCATCCCCTCCCGAGGGGGGGCGGATGGCGCCTAGGGCCCTCACCACCGCTGATGTCACTGGTGCGTCATATGACAATGTGGTCTGGGGGGAACGTCACACAAACCTCCCCAGTCACAAACAGCATTTCAGATAAAAAAAAAAAGCCCCTTTACCTCTCTCATGGATGGTGTTATGATTATCATTATAGCAGTTACATTATTCTTGAATACAAGATGTTTAGTGCTGACAGCAGTTTTAGTGTGTTAGTAGAATCAAAGTAGCAGTAGTATTTCCGTTTTAAGTCATTTGCATATTTTTACATTTTTTCTTAGATTTTTATTTGATGCCAAGTGACATTTTGCCCTCATGTATAATTTATTTTCTTTGTTGATTTGTGGGGGGTCAACTGGGGCTTAAAAAAGGTTTTCAAGCACATTTCTCATGCTGTGTGTATGTGTGTGTGTGTGTGTGTGTGTGGATATTTCATGTTCAAGAGCTATGTATTGTATGCGAATGGATGGTTAGTTTTTAAACTATTTTAAATCTCACAATGCAACTATGAAGCAGCCTAAGCCTTTGTCATACTAGTATCGTCAGGGATTAAAACGACTTTCATATGAAAGCAACTGAATCTGTTTTTCTATTTGAAGCTGCACAGTACCAATTATAAATACCAAATCGTGAGAGTAAAAGAAATATTTGCTAGATGTTCCAACCCTGTTAAACAGAAAACAATGACTCTGACAGATATCAAAGATGGCATTAGTCAATTAGAGAGAAATTATTGGTTGTTCATGGTAATCCTTCCATTTCTAGGTATTTTAGGACTGTGAATGATTCCATTGTCTTTGACTCACAAGTCACAAAAGCACATGCAAACCATTTCATAGCCCCTTTTTTTAATTTCTTAAAAATGCAACTTTATATACACTAAAATCCTGAATTTGCAGAACTCTGCACTGTATATACCGATATAGCAAAGCACATGTGTATGTTAAGCACAGACATTTAAAGACAATTCATGTGAGAATAACAAGAGATCATTGTGGGTCAGTCCACTCTGCATCCATCAGTCTCAAACAAAAAAGAAGGCATGACAATAAAAAGTTGTGGTGTAATGACACTCCTTGGTGGAACTATGAGATGTAAGAAAAGTGTCTGTCACAGTAATTTTGTTCATGACAGTAACTGTATTGCCTACACATCCGGATGCCATACGACCACAAAGGTGACTTGTCAGTTCGTTGCCTGGCAAAGTTTGTTTTGTCAGTATTTCTAAAAGCTAGTTTCACGCAGTTATTTGACCATTTCTGTGCTCTCTCTAGTTGTAAGCGCATTAGTGTTCAACTCAAAGTTGGATAACTGTACTGTTAGTAAAGACAATGAATTTAGATGTTTTTTGTGGCATGGACATACATTAATATAGTCTTACTGACTCAAAAGCTACTTTACTTCACCTCCTTATTTTTACACTTTTGACTGTCTTGCTGGATCAACCCTTTGTTTATATGTGCAGTACTAAACCTCCCATGCTTAGCGCATTATGCTACTGATATTAGAGACTGTTGTCTTTGAGTTGTGTCTGTTTAGTTTGTGATGAGCTCGCAACCATGTCTTAAAACTTGTACCAACATTGCTTACTCTGTAATGATCTAAAAAATGCTTTCAGCTTTCTCCTCATATTTGTCTTTTGTACAGTCAATATAAATGCTTAGTAGCAGGCTTTAAACCGACTCTGTTTTGTATATTCATGTGCCAACAGCTTGAAGTGGCTTATTTGACATGTATGATCAAATTTGCTTGTACAAATAAAGTTCACATGTGTAATTGTTAATAAATACTTGATGTCTCGTGTCCATTTTGTTCGATGTCAAGCTGTCCCACTGTCCCACTGCTTGTGTTTGTGCTGTAAGATGTGTAAGCCAATATTTCACTGTTATTTATTTTCAGGTGAGTCAATAAATATGGTCAGCCAGGATTAGACTGTAGAAAGATGGATTACTATTTAAAAGAAGAAAGGAAACTGATGTTTGTGAGGGTGTAATACACTGAAGTAATTACCTCATACCACTAGATGTCTCCCTTTCCTCTTAGTCACTTAATAGCATATGAAGAAGCAGTTTCCAGGATTTGGGATAGCATGTTGCAAGCAAGTCATGTCTTGTGTATTAAATCAATATGCGGTAGGTAAAATTACGAATCTTTTAGGTTATCCAAAAGGTGTATTAACATTTATCTTTACCATAAATCTATATTCAGGTTACATTTTTACCTCAAGGGGGATATAATTCATTTTAGTTGTGTCACAGTATCCCAAGAACATACAGTATGAACATATCTGACATGAAATGTGGTTTACAAATAAGGTTTTAGTCAAGGAACAGCTGGATTTTGTGGTGATGTACATAAAGTAACTTTAGCATTCCATAGCCAAGACTAAACAGGTTAAGGAGTTTGTAAAGCTATAATCTACGTCAGTTAAAATATAAACGATCGCAATAATGTCACTGGCCAGAACATCAAGATAGGGGACTGTCCCTAGACTAGGTTTGAATTGTCTATTGTGGACCTGTCATTGGCATGCAGGTTGAGTTTGGCCCCTTATCCCAAGGCACTGGTCCAACCACTCAGGTAATAAATCAGGTCTGAGATTACACTTTGCACCCTGGTGCCAGACAGAATACCCTTTCATATGGCTTCCAGCTCAGTAATACATTTACATTTAAGGAATTTCTTGAAAGTTAGATGGTCTTGCATCAGAATACAAGAGCAAAATAAATAAATAAATAGATTAAAATAAAAACACCTACAGCAAAATCCACAATCATCTTATTTTTCAATGACTGGTCAAAACCACAGTGTCAAGTATTATAAAGGAAAGTTAATTAGATATAATTAAGCATGGCTGATCCTGTATGTACTGTAAAAAAGTTTAGGGTCTAAACATTAATTTGATATAAGTAAGGACATAGGTGGGCTTTTTTTTAAAAAACAGTGGAAAGGCAGGTTGGATCACATGAAGGGAAACCTCCCCTGAATTAGCTGATTAACACCATGACTGCTGTGGCCAGCCTACCTCCCTGAGGCTTGCGTGACCCTGTCAAACCCAAGAAATCCTCCACTAATCTCCCCCCTCCTGTGTGGTCAATCTGACAGGTCACCTGTACAGTAATTAGATTTTCAGCATGTGCACTGTTGCACCTTATGGACTCTAAAAGCTCTTTTCATTATTCCAGATTTGTTTTTTGGGGATGACAGTTCTTCAGGATCTCAAATTATCCGGATGTTTTTTCCCTGATCGCTCTTCGATGTGAGAATTTTGGGTGCATTTGGTGAAATCATGTGTCGACTTCTCTATGTGCATGTATTGCTATCCTGCCTCAGTATGGCTCATCCCTTCTGTCCATCCCAGTGCACCTGTGTCTTCCATGGACGTACTGATGGAACAGGAACCAGGTAAACTCCTTTTATTGTTTTCACTCATTCACACACACACATTTTGATAATTTGAAATATTAAAATGAAAGACAATTTGACATTTAATCATTTATGTTTCAATCTCAGATCTGTGCTCTGTAATGACCCAGACATGTCTGATGTCCCCATCAATGTCCCTGTGGATACAATCAAACTTCGTATTGAGAAAACTGCGGTACGGCGAATCCCAACAGAAGCTTTCTACTACCTGGTGGAGCTACGATATCTGTGGATTACCTACAATTCCATAACCTCAGTGGATACTGGAAGTTTCTACAATCTCAAAGTGCTCCATGAGCTGAGGCTGGATGGAAATATGATCTCCATGTTCCCTTGGGAGTCTCTGAAAGAGATGCCCATGCTGAGGACGCTAGACCTACACAACAACAGACTCAGTGATGTTCCCACTGAGGCTATCCCCTACCTCCTCAACATTACCTACCTGGATCTATCCAGCAATAAATTAATAACCCTGCCCTCTGATCTCATGGATATCTGGCCCCCCTTCAACAGAGAACCCATCTCTACTAATGCCTCTCAAAAAGTTGTGTTAGGTAAGGAGAAAAGGTTGTGTCTGGCTCGATTTTTTCAAGATACACGGGCCAGGGCAGGACACGTTTGGGGTTGTGTGCACAGTAATTATCTCAGGAACTTCATTCCATCACCTCTTACTGTAGCCTGGCTTGTTCAAATCTGCCCTGGTAATAAATGTGAGGACACAGTAAAAACAGATTAATCCAGGTAGTGGGAGAGTCCGTGCGTAATGTGGATCTTTTATTTGTTATCTAGATTAACTGTTGAATGTATATCACAGTGTCTTGGCTATCTAACATAGAAACAAGTGGAACAAATCAGAAAGAAATACTGCAAATCTACTGTATCGCATGTGCCCACAGAATATAGTAAACTAACAATGCACAAAAGAAAACATATTCATCATTACTTTTTTTAATTAAAGTTTCTGAAGTGATATCTTTAATCTTTTAATCACCATGAGTGTCTATGATTCAGTGATAGTCTTTGCAATCTCAAGGCACTTCTGGTGCTATTTTCAAACTTTTGTGCTTTTAATAAAAGTTTGCAGTGAACCACAACAATACTTCCTAAAAGTTTAAAATTAACAAATTATACTGTGTTAAGGTTGTTAGTGATCTACTGATGCTGACAAACAGTCTAATGGGAAAAATATGTTGCCACGAACTGGAGGGACACCAGAAGCAGCTTAGGTGCTTTGCCACTGTAAAGGCAAACTAATCTGGTTAAAGGGTTTTAATATGCAGTTGTACATGTGATAACCTATCGTGTGCAGCGGATGTTTACACTAAGTTGTAAGCAGGGTTTCTGCAGGTTTCATCAAGGTACATTTAAGACTTTTTAAGGCCTAAAATCCAAATTATTGATTTTTAAACTTTTTAAGGACCCGTGGAAACCTTGTATAAGAAATCTTATATGACAGGTTCCCTTTTAATCCTTGAATTTTATTGTTACTATGGCTAAAATGGCATGGATTTTCAAAGCAAAACCAGAAGGATACATTCATGTAACGTGTGACTTGCATGTATCCACAGTTTGTATCAGTTTGTTCACTGCTACAGTGCAACCACAGCATACTCTATTCTTTCTACTTTAATCAAACAATACTGCTAAGTGATGGTGAACAAAAATGCAATGGTATGAAACAGTAATCAAACACAAGTTCTCTTATTCTGTCATCTTCAGGCCTTCAAGATAATCCCTGGTTCTGTGACTGTAAAATTTCCAAGCTGATTGAGATTTCCAAAATGGTTGATGCACCACTGGTTTTAATGGACCTATTCCTGACCTGCAATGGACCAGAAAACCTGGCTGGTGTCCTTTTTCAGCATGCAGACCTTGACAGTTGTGTGAAACCGTCCGTCATGGCTTCTGCAACCAAGATCGCATCTCCTCTAGGCAGTAATGTTCTCCTGCGATGTGACGCCACAGGGTCTCCAACGCCAACTCTTTACTGGACTAGATCAGATGGCTCACGGGTCAACAGAACAGGTACAGTATAATAATCAGGCTTCGGATGGTTGTAGGATTTCAGATGTTTAAAACAATAATGTTTTCAAATACAATAGGTGTTATATCTGTAACCTACTGGATATATTGTGTGTAAATTTCCATTGCCTGACATGTAGGAGGCACTGAGTGGTGTGGTACCAAGTGTAAGCACTAAGCACTTTCAATTGCCTTTGTGTATGAAAATGTGTTGTATAAATAAACGTATCTTGCTTTGTGTTACACAGCCATAATCCATTTCATTGGTAAGGTCTGACGTTTGTGTTCTTGGTCCACCCTACAGTTGAGGAGTCACCTGGGGAGGGTATCAAATGGTCCATCATGATCTTGAATGGAATATTGTACAAAGATGCCGGAAACTACAGTTGCAAAGCTAAGAATGTTGCTGGCAATGCAGAAGCCACCATTTCTCTTTCGATTGCCGGTTCCATTAGTACCACCAGCCCTCCAGCGAGGCCTAACATAGGAACTGGTCCACCCGAACCCGGCACAACATGTGCTCCCACAGTGGATATTCTCATCTCACCCTCCGTCACGTCCACAGTTTTCCCAAGAACATCAACAATGCTATGGGCCATTCCTAAGAAGCCTAGCAATGGTTTACAGAAAGGCTCCAAACAAACAAAGATCGAACAGGGAAGTAACGGGAGAAATTTTGCAGCTGATGAAAAGAGCAAGAAAAGCGAGGCATCAAAGTCTGTCCAAGACGTAGAGATTGTAGAGAAAACATCTGACAGTGTAGTGTTGATCTGGACAGCAGGCGGGTTACCAAAAGATGCCCCACTTACAGTTGTGTATTCACCTTATGGTGAGAATGACATGAAAAAGACAGAGGAGACCAATGCTGGCAGTGGGAAAGTCCTCCTAGCGGGACTGTCATCCGGGATGAGGTACTCGGTTTGCCTCATAGCAAAAGGTATTGATGGAGAATACCCCTGCATCGACTTCTACACACTAGACAATGTAGAGAACGGACGGCAGAACCAGCTTTTCATTATCATAAGCAGCATTGCCTGTGCTTTGGTTCTGCCTCTTATTGCTCTGTTGCTCTACAAGATTCTTGCTTTATACTGCAAGGGACGCAGCACAGCTTTAGATCAACAGGAGCTTGAAAAAGAAAGTTATGTCAAGTTTGAGACAATTTCAATGAAACAAAGAACTCTGAACTCTCATCCACCAGAACTTTGGGCAAGGAGACCAACCCATGAATCAGAGCGAATGCTCCTATGCTCCAGGTCAAGCACTGACTCCCAGATGACCTACAAGAGTGACAGTTCCCGATCAGAGTATCTCTGCTGATGCCGGGAATCCATGGCCAATGCCCAAATGCCATGTTAGAAGCACATTTGATATACCATTCATAGGCCTTTTACAAACTGACTATATATTAACTATGTAAAAAATGTATACAACTTTTTTCTTTGCATCTGTAGCATAAAAGACACTGATCTGTTATAATGTAATGCAGGTGTCCAACCTTTTTTTTCCCATCTCAGAGCAACTTAGATGAAATGAAAGTAGCAGAGATATTGAATCAAAACACTCAACCTGCTCTCCAAACCAACCAACTGAATAAGCTAATTGTTTCATGTATCCAGTAATCAAATATATGTTTTACCAAAAACATCAGTCATCACAGTGTCAAACTCACAACATGTTAGATGTAATCATAATTAGTCCCATACAAAGAGTCTATCAGTTAACTATGTGTAGTGTTTGTTGTTATATTCAATGCCAAAGTGTTAGACATCATGTGGTGATGTCGGAGAATCCCCCATCACATTTGCAACATCACTGTTGCTCTAAAACTAAAGCAGACTGCTGCCTTAATGTACAAGAAAACACTGTCAGTGTGTTTGATAGAATACAATGTGTGACCAATATGAAAAACTACTTTATATGGTTCTACATTTCTGTCTATAAATAGTGTTGTACATTTGTTTTTAATAAACTGAACCACTGTTGAATTCTATTTGTATTGTACAGGTTATCTGAGTAAGTGCACACTGTTTGCACATATCATAGGTCTATTATTGCATTATATATTGTAAAAATGTTGCCTGTTTGTGAGTTTAAGCAGTTCTATTTGCATGTTTAACATAAAACCACTAAGACTCATCACTATTCATCAAATATATACCAGCACACTTATTTAAATTAATATATTTTACATCAGAGTAACACATTTCTATTAAAACCCATCTGATGGTAGAAACTAGCAGAGTAAATTCTATATGACTACTTCTGAAATCCACATCATTCTCATTTATGACTTGTATCCTGTTAGTTCCTGTGCTGATCTTTGAGTGCTCGTTCTATAAACTCCAGCAGATGTAACTTTATCCCAGGCTTTCATGACACTGTACTATATGCAGTAGTATCATCATCATGCCATCCTCCTCATATAACATTTTGGTGTACTATATAGCTTTGTTCATGTTGCTCATAGGCATGGGTAGAGGCATGGAGACATTAAGGAGAGAAGAGAATACTATCTGAATAAACACAGTAGAAGCAAAATACAGATGTTGCCTCTGGTAAAAGTATGATCAATGTCATTTATGAATAAGGTGAACATAGAAATGTATATACAGTACTAGGCATAACACATGTGCTCACTCATGTTATGAACAAGAGCAGGTGTGTTCATCCTGAAAAATCCACGGGTCACAGTTCTCATGCTCTCTCAACAGGCATCACCATAAATCCTGATAAAACAACTGGCGGACCTGGAAAACTGTTCCTATGGATACCACCGTGCCACCAGCTGACAGAGCCTGCAGCACTAAGGCTATGTTTACATCACACGCTGAAGCAGCCCATGTACCCCAAGTACTCTTTAAAACCAGCTGTGCAAATGGTAGAAAAGAATGGACTATGTTGTTAATAACAGATCAACCATAAATGGACAAAAGACAGTCTGTGAATTGATCTGTTGTTTTGTCTGTCTGTCTCTGGGTTTTATTCTCTCTGTCTTCCTGGTCCTCTTGCCTCTGAGGCTGTGTGGCTGTAGAAACGTGTTGTGACATAAGGAATAAGAGTCTACTTAGGCAGAGTTGCTTTTGCTTCCACCTTGAGGTTAACGTCAGAGAAACTCATACTTTGACCTCTCAGCCAGAGGTCACACACCAAACCACTGTACCTTATTAAGTGAGTACATCAAACTTAAACCTGCAATCCATTTCATGCTCACTTAAGTCAAAGCAAACATTATGAAGCCCCTACTGTTACTGCTCTTTTTTAAAACCTTGTTTGTGCTGACAATAGATGTAGCAAAAATGTCTGATACAACCAAATCATGAAAACACAAATACTATATATATTATTTACTAAAACTGCACAATTAGATAAAAATGGTACCAAAGGGTGCAGCCTGACAAACCTGGTCAAAACCTTTCAGCAGCTGAGTATGGAAAACATTTAAACAAGCAAAGTAAATGTGTTGTTTTAGGGCTTCACCGCTCTCCAAACATCTGTCCAACAATATACTGCTGTATAAATGTACAGAAAAGGTATGAAATGTCAGTATAACACTGTTTCAATCAATCTCAAATGTATTGTGTTGTAACTGCTTAAAAATGACACCCAGCTGGAATTAAATATTTTCTAGAACTATTCTTACAAAACTACAGATGTGAGGTTTCATTTAATAGAGCTGCAGCAACAACACTCCTGATGTACCCTAGACATGCACTCTACATGACAATCCAAACCCGTGTGCGATTCAACACACTAGTCAAATTATAGACATTTAGATTTTCATTGTCTGCCCGGGTGAAATCGTGGGAAAAGGTCAGAGCCCTTCAGACTGCTAACATTAGTCTGTAGACAAGGCAGCTTTCTCAGCAGTGTAAATCTTCTACTTCTCTACAAAGTTACTGGTGACGTCACTAACAATAGCCTAGTCATGGAGGGTATGAATAGAGGTTTTGGTTCCTGGCATCTGTTAGTTGATTTCCTGGGTGAAAAAAGAGGGCAAACAATTTAGTGATATCTGCTTCACTCCTCCTCCGTCCTCTGTAAATTATTCATTCTGCCAATTCCCTCCTGGAGCCAGATGAACATCAACTGGAGAGAGCCTAAAACACAGGCTTCTCATTTACAAACACACTCAACACAAAACAGAGTGTCCGTTGTGTGTGTGTAGCATGTGTGAATTAAACTTGTACTGTAAAAGGATGTGATTTATGAGTGGTGTTATAGGTCTGAAATGGTGCCAAAGGTCAGTTTTGTTCCCCAATGAAAAAAAATATTGTTTTAGGGTTCTTTCTGCTCTAACAGCGTCACATGCAATGTCCATCTCCCAGTCTCGCTCTCCCAGACACAAACACTCAAATACATCCACCCACATTCAGAAGAGACATGGGTCAGGGGGTGGGGGGGTTATTATCTGAGGCCTTCCTTCAGCCCAGCCTCCTTTCTTGCATATTCCACATTCTGCTCAAGACACTGACTGCAGCTTAAAGAAGATCTTGCTCCAGTGCTGGGCTAGCATGTGCAAAATTTACCACGGGGGTGTCAGGAATTTCAGTCTTTGCTTCCAAAACAGACTGGCAGCCTGGGGGCCAAGGGGAGTGAGCAGGATCCCACACAAGAGTTTTTTTTTTAAAACTGCACTGGTAATATTGCACTCTTCATTCTTAGCCCTACATCGTTCTTGTATCTCTCTTTAACATGACATCTCAAGGGTTGTAAAGCTCCACTATTTCTCTAGGTTGAAGCTCTGGACAATAATGCCAACTGTCCATAAACAAATGTCGCTTAGTGTGGGGGAATTCTTGTGTGCAAGCAGTGATGGCAGGGATGCCTGAGAAAAAGTGAACAAGTGCAGCTCTCGAGGCAGGGACAAGGTATAGGATTATGTTGGCTGCAACAATCACAGCAGCACTGATCTTCTTTGTGGTGCAAACCTCTGGAGCCACGGCCCTCGGGACAGCATGTTGGGATGAACGTTTGTCACGAGCAGGGAGCAACAGCAGCTGTGTGGGTGAGTGTGACACCACTCCAATCCACACCAGGACAAGTAATTCTGCAAAACACCACTTTTTTCTTTGTAGATTTATAGTGCTTAATAAAGAAAGTAGTCAAAGTGACAATCAGACCACAATCAGAGACATATGGTATATTTTCTGGGTTTAGAAGAAGTATCCCATTATTCCTCTGTTATCAGAAGAACAACAGAAGGTAAAAGACAGCCAGTCTACATTATGTGTGGCAAAGTGAACTTGGCTGAGCAGACAAAACAATGCACTGTACCAAATGCACAGTAAGCTGGTTTGTGCTTGAGAGGGTGTAACTCAGTCTGAGGTTTTTTTTGTGGGAAGCCACGGAGACGTCACTTGACTTTCACAGGTGGTGATCGTTGATGTCCAAAAGGTAATCTCCCCTGTAGGCTCCCGTCGTGCCAGTAGAAATGACAACTTTTCAATACCCATGGAGAAATTTGCAACACCATTCTGTGTTCAGTGTTCAAAGGTTTTGGTCAGGTTTAGTTCCTTCTCCACTTCATATATTCCTTCTTATGAAAATGTACAATATTTTTCTTAGTCAAGCTCCTTTTACAATTAATAAAACACCAGATAGTCATGATACATATTAATCTAACAAGCCTGTAAATCCAGTACTGCCATAAAACCGTCCTGCTCAATAACTTGCAGCATTTTCTACAGTAGCCATATACATCAATATATATCAAAAGGTAAATATATTCATAACTTTTGCAAAAATAAATAAAAATAAATTAATTTACAGCTTAAATACTCAAGTTGCTGGTTGTTTTGATGGGCACCAGGACTGCAGTGACTAACTTAATGAACTGGCTAATTAATCCAGCTTGGCCTCTCAAAGCACATGTTGGGAAATGTGGGATTGTCAGTATTTACACTGTTCCCCCAGCAGCATCCAATAAACTGATTTTATTAGGTCAAGAATGATGCTGACCACCCTGTGCACTTCAATCAGTGATTCATCAGGATGCCTCCCAGCAACTCAGCACCAGTGGCCATCTTGGGGATCTCAGGCCAGACATTTCATCATGTTGTTTGTCTGGTGTTGCACATTGTTTTCCTCATTGCCCAGAGTTAAGAGCAGTATCCATAGTCTCATATGACAGTGTTATCACCACAGCAGATGAGAGCAGCTGCTACCTATAGTAATTCAGAGAGCTAACACGTACTTCATTTCGCCTCATACCCTTGTTTGTCAAAGTTTAATGGGCCCTAGAGCAAACTACTGTGTGTAATGTGGAAAGTAATCCAGTGTTTCCAACTGTGAACATAGTGAAATAGACACACATTCATTCCATTTACAAATGTAGTAATTTCCAAATTATGCTCATCACTATGATAATGCTGTGAACTAAAGCAGAAGCCTGTGACAGATGAAAACAAATCGCCTCAGCCTTTAACTTCACCACAGAGTCAAAGGATAGCCAAAGAGCTATGGGTTGCTAAGGGATGATGTTTTATCCAGAAGCAGCTGAGGCTGCCTTGAACTTCTCCCCTTTGCACCCCTGAATAGGCTTTTTATCAGATAATTTGACAATTTAATGACAACTGTAGTGTGACACAGAGAGAGAAGGAGCAGCTATTGAAATGCTGAATAGTTACCTGCCTGTCCCTGGGAACCGTTTCCTTAAGCTGAGAACAAGCCTGAGAGACATGTGTTTCACATGTATCAAAAGCTTTGGCTTATTAACCCTGGTGAATAGTATGTGGCTTTGAAATAACCTGTGATGTACAGATGGGTGACAAATTTAAAGAAAAACTAATATAAAGTGTACAACAGACTTTTTAGCAAAGTGTGTCCAGAGCAGCTTCAGGGCTGCTCTGATGGAAGGAGGAAGCATCATTCTTCCTAAACATACTCCTTCACTGTGTTCAACACACTTTTTCATCACCATTAAGCCATTCAGTAACCTAGAGCTGCAACCACTAGTCCGTTCCCTGATAGACAACTAACTGTTAACTATGCTGAAGTAAAACCAGCATTTTCTGGTTCCACCTTCTTTAATGTGAGGAAACTTTCTTTGTCAGATGACAATAAAAATATCTATGGATTTGTTGGTTGGACAAAACATTTGAAGACACTACCTTTGACTCTGCAAAGTCAAAATGGGTATTTCTTCCCCAATTTTGACATTATGTGAATAAAATAAAATAAAGATGTAAGAAATTATAATAATAATAATCAGCAGATTAATCAGTGACCTCTACATTTTTTTAATTTCATCTCATTTATTCAGGATTTTAAATAAACCTTTTATTTGTCCCCCATCTGTCTGTTCCAGGGCTTTTGATAAATGAACCTAAAAGGATTAATGACAAATATGTGTGTTGGTTTATATTGCTAAGCTTCACAGCCCTTCCTGATATTTGGCCATGGGAGAGCCATTCATCGCATGGACCTTGATGGGAAGAGCCAAAGAAGGCTGGTGGCTGGTGTGGGAAGCTCTATCCTGCTTGACTTTCATTTCAGAGAAGAGAGAATTTACTGGGCTGACAAACACACTGGGGTCATCTACAAAGCGTCTGTGAGAGGAGCACACAGACAGGTGATTATGTAACCACCCAGAAGTTGTAGAGAACTTCGCTGGTGTAAAAGGATTCCAGTGCCTCGTAGGAAACAAATGTATGAGTCATCGAAAGCATCAGTGCAACAGTTAAATAGTAGTATCAGCAAATCTGTAAGATTCCTAAAACAATATGACCAAAATGGCATTTAAAGTTTGTCTTTCTATCTAACAATAATGCATTGGACTAGGGTTTGATTAACATCATTTTAATGTTTGTTTTCCAGAAACTGTACTCATCTGACAAACATATCTCAGGCCTTGCAGTAGACTGGATTGGGAACAGCGTCTATTGGACAAGTGAAGAAACGGGACAAATCAAGAAAATTGATCTAAATGGAAAAAATGAAAGGACTCTTTTAAGACACCTGACCCAACCAGGTTGTATAGCTGTTGATCCTACTAACAGGTAATCCATCCCATATTACACTTTCATGTTTGCCCGATGCTGCTTTTTCCATGTCAGTGACATGACTGTTCTTCTTACCGTCATATCTGCTGCTGTTGCTCATTTGCACTGCTGTCCATGTACATTTCATAAGCTATTCTGCATCCCATCACCAACACTCCTGGTGAGGAGGTAAAATAATGACATTTATTAAATGAAAAGATGAGCTAGAGCAAAGGAAATAATTCCCACATGGATCCTCGCACAGCTCACATTCATGGCATTATGTTTATATGCTGCTGCTACTGTATAAATGTTTCAACTCTCTCCATCATGCATGGCTGACACTGAGGTGCAACATAACCCTCACATACCACTAGTTTCTCTTGTCAAAGAAAGGTAGTTGCTTTTAACCAGACCACATATTCTCTGCATTTGTTGCATTTCCATCCAGCAGACTGATGAGTGGCTGTGTCTATGCAAATAATGGCAACAATGGATTTATATGAATATTTTACCATATTTCTTCATGATAATAACATGCAATGGCTTTAAATTACTATTTTTTTCTATTCAAATGTGTAGGGCTTCTTAAAGTTTTTTTTTTTTATTTTTATCCTAAAATATGACAGAGAGCAAAAAGAGTATGGGACTCACATGAGGTGGGAGGGAATGTTAATGCTCATATGAGAAAATGTCAAAACAAAGACATTAATAGGATCATTTAACTTAAATGGCACTTTGTAACTGTAATTAAATATTTTGCAGGTTCCTTTTTTGGCTGTCTGGTGCTATGAATCCTAATATCCAACGCTCTGATGTGACTGGACAGATGAAAACTACACTTATTAAGGTAGCAGAACAACTGAAAGCACTGACAATTGACCGGGAGAACAAAAGACTGTTCTGGGCTCAGTTTGGCCTACAAGGAGATAGTGCCATTGCCTCCTGTGATTACAACGGGAATGTCCTGCACACCATAGGTCAGCCACTTAGGTGAGCATGTTGCTGTATTAAGATTAGTTGGTTTTTTACTTAGTAGTGAATCTCCTACAAGCCAGCAAGGTATAAAACACTGATGTAACAACATTTCTATATTATTGCCCTGTTTTTTTTTTTATGTCATTAAGATTATTTCTGTGAATGGCACATTGTTTTTTGTCTTTTTTTGTTCCCCAGGTCTCAGTCACTGGCAATAACAGTCTTTCGGGAGCAGGTATACTACACTGATGCTGTATCTCAGGTTATAAAACAAGTAAGCAAGTACACCGGTGGAGAGCCACTAGACGTCAACAGAAAACAAATGGCAAAACCCCCAGCTGCTCTCAAAGTGGTACACCCCCTCAACCAGCCGGTGACAGAGTCCCCATCACCCTTTCCAGGTTACAGCTAAAATTTCTCAATGAATTGTTACTTTATTTTTTATTCAGTAAAATGCCTTAACAGTATATTTATGTTTGCTAATCTTTTCAAACAGGTTGTGACGAACAGAGTGGAAACTGTGAGAACGTGTGCTCCAGTCGAGCTGAACAAGGGATGTGTCAGTGCAGTGAAGGCTTTGCTCTCAGTAAGCAAGGCACTTATTGTGACGGTTCGTATTTTTGCCATGAAATCAAATAAGAATTAGAAGTGTAGAAATGCAAGAATTATTTTTAGTTCATTTACTTTAGAACTTGTAGAAAAAGACTTACTTATACCTTTTTTATTAAAAAAAAAAAAAAGCACTGCAGCATCGTCTGCTCATTATCAAAGTTGGTATGTCTCACAGAGCTGCCAAGCACAGGCTCCTGCTGCGGCCCCACATTTAAGAACATAAATAAGATATGGCAAAGCACTTTAATAAAAGCATCTATTAAGAGATTATCAAGTTATATCACTAGATGTGTCTGTGTGTGCTGTAGATGTGAATGAATGTGCCCACTGGAACCACGGCTGCTCTCTTGGTTGTGAAAATATCCCAGGCTCCTATTTTTGTACCTGCCCTAAAGGATACGCCCTCCTTCAGGACAGGAAGACTTGTCGAGGTACAGAACAAATATATTAATGACTTAATAATTTAATTATATAACTAATTAGTATTATATTCTAATTCCTTAAAAGGTTTACATTTCATAATGGTTTTGTGAGCAATTCATGGCCAGCAGAGACTAAACTGTAATAAACTAAAGACTTCAAGATGATCATTTATAGTTTTTAAAGATTGCAAATACACTTCTGGATGATGTTGACACCATAACTGACACCAAATAACTGACTCACTGTACATTTTACTAATTTCTGTGTCTCAAACATTTAAGTCTTAGCTGTGGAGAATTCTTGTTCAGTGAAATAAGAAAAAAACATTTAGGCTTTATTCAAGAAGTGGCAGCATTTGTACTTTGTTGTGCTCCGTATAATGAATGTAGCTCTGATTTTGGATCAGATCCTCTTTTTTGTGCAGCTATGAGTTGTGGCACTTGTCCCACAAACAACACTTTGACCCCAGAGGGCTACAAAGAGGCTGGGTCACATACGACCAGACAGACGAGACATATATGAGCTGCCAATTGTGTGTTAGGTTAGTTGGGTGAAAACACTGGCACTTTGTCCCATTCCTAAAGATCTACCAGTGGTGAGGATGAGCAGCTGTAAGGTAGATGCAAACAAGAATGTCACATTAAAGTTAATGCAAGTATTTTTACAGGATATCTGTCTTTTGAGGAATAGAACAATGAGTTTGATGGCCTCTTTTAAAAATTAGACTGTGGCTGTGCTGATTAGTTCTAAATATTGGCACTAGAAGCTATGCTAAAACATGTTGTTTTAAAACTTTTTATAAATGTGATAATCCAGCTAACCTTTTTAGTTTTTCTACCCAAGTCGTTCCACTCTGCCAGGTCTGTTTTCTGCCAGTGTAACCACAGATACCTCAGGCAAGCCTTTATTCTGGCACCAACATCTGCACTGCATAAACTGCTAGGAACATTCTTATGTTAAGGACATTATGGTAATTTAATTAATAGTTACATTACCAGTGGACACACTTTCCCATTTATTTCAGTGGGAAAGTGTGCCATTAAAACTACCATCTGCACTGTGATTAACTTCACAACACATTAAGACACATTTTCATCTCACAGCTATGAGGCCAAGAGACCAGGAAAGGTTCACAGACACAATGAGATTAGATGATGAGGTGACATTTGTAATAGGGAACATATCTGCTCAGCAGCTTTGTCTGTCTAAGCTGTTTAGCAGACGACCTTTGTCAAGGTCCAGAAAAAACAAATGTAACCCAGTGACAGGCCAGACAATGGAGGCAGCAACGGAGATTAGCTGGAGGAGGATATAACCGCACTGCTCATATCTTTTTCTGGTTCAATAAAAACAAATTGGAGAAAATGGGAAAAACATGACTAAGCATTAACCTGGGTATTAAATAAATAAAATATACCACAAAAGAGCAAAAAACTAGGGTGCCAGAGATATTTTTTTTCAAGTAGCAAGAAGTTACCAGTAAAGCCCTGTAACTATTTCATATTAGATTCATACTGTATGTGTGCACAGTACCCTGCCTGTGCATACTTGGCCTATGTTCATAGGTGCAGGAGATATCATTTACCGTAAGCTAACATTACATCAAGCTGAGCGTGTGTGCTTCGACTGCATTCTCATCACACTTTCATCTATTCTGATAGGATTAGGGCTGACTTCATAAACAGATTCTACCAGGACAGGCCCTCCAGTAAGAAGCTTGTTGTCCATCTGGTTCTGTTAGAATCTACTACCTGCAGGGAAAATTCTTGAACACATAACATTACTATGATCTTGTTAATAGAGCTCTTAATACTAGTTTAATATTGTTTTCTTCAACTTTTATGATTTTGTATTATAGTGCCTTTAATCTTTCATGTGTTTCTATGAGTTTAACTCAGTTTGCTTGAATCCACCATGTTTTTAGCATTTGTTACACTTTCAAGATCTTCTTTCTGCAATCAGAGATCATATCATGCGGAGTCAATATGGCCAAATGTGGCCATGGATGCTTGGGGACAGATGAAGGCGTTATCTGTGTGTGTCCTGAAGGATCTGTGCTACAGGAGGATGGACAAGGTTGCACCGGTATGTGCTATATAACAGAGATTATTGGGCCTTTATTCTGAAACTAACACTTACTTGGTATTTAGAATGTTATGCAATTATACAGTAACAAAAGCAAAGTCTTTTTATTTTTTAAGTGGAAGTGAAAAGTTGCTATTTATCATTGTTGTTCATTTTGACAAACTGAGCAGGACGATCCCAAAGTGGTCAAACTGAGGTCAGATGGGTCAAACACCTGACAGCACAGCGGTGTAGTATGTTAGCAGCTTGTACTAGTGAGCGTACAATGACCATTATGATCATTAAAAATTATTACATCAATGTAATCTAAAGGATGGTCCCCTGTAAGAAAATGGAGCCTGTTAGCAAAGAACTGAAGCTTGTGAAGGTGCAACTCTGTCTTTGGCTGTTACAGGCTGCTCGACTGCAGACAGAGGAGGCTGCAGTCAGCTCTGTACCCCTGTCAGCCCTAGGAGGTGGCAGTGTGGTTGTCTGTCTGGCTACCAGCTCCACCAAGATGGCAAGCGCTGCATTGCTACTGGTGAGTCATACTAAGATTAGCCCTCACAGATAAACAGACTTCCTACGAGTCTCAATCGCATCCATTTTCTGTTTCTACAAAAAGAAATGTAAAAATTGCAGGGTAAAATGAAAATCAAGGTGGGGAGCGTCTTCATGATCTAATGTACTGCAGTAAAGGTCTCTTGTTTTTCAGGACCACCACCCTACCTGCTAGTGGCCAATCTAGTAGATGTAAGAAAAATCTATCCTGATGGCACTGGAGACCAAACCTTGTTGGAGGACCCGAGGGCAGCAATCATAGCTTTGGACTATGACCCAGTTGAGCAAAACGTAAGATGAAAACTCCTCTCATTTTATTACTGCTTTGATTTTTTGCAGTTGCAGTAGAATGTGACTATTTGCTGATGTACCACACTAACCTAACATCTCAAGACTACTACAGAATATCAGAACTTATGGTTTGGTGCAGACATCCAGCAACACCTAGTGGACAGAAACTGCCATTTGTTGGCCTGTAGGTTCCCCAGTGTTTATAGCAAAAGAAACAAATACAATTCTTCATTTTATTTTGCTAATAGTTGAGCAGTTATCTCTATGTTTTACTTCCCATCTATTTTCTGTGATAAGATTCTTTATTATTTCTGTGTATAAATATTTACGTATGCATTTTGAAGGTCTACTTTACTAGTATAAGCCAGGGAACAATTGAGCGAGTTGATCTGAACGGTGGGTCCAGAGAAACGCTGATCTCTGAGGATCTGAACTCTCCAGAGGGACTGGCAGTTGACTGGGTCCACCGCAGGATGTACTGGACTGACAAAAGGTGTGTAGTGTGTGCATAAGTAAATGCTAGTGACTGTTCATGAATAAATTGTTTAATGTAATGGTTGAGTTGTGCATTTTCTGTGGGACATTTGCTTTTTCTGTGTTGGACCACACTCGGCTGATATGACTTTTAATGCTTGGGTCATATTAGATCGTTTTTTCAGCGGGACACTGGCAACTAGGGTGTTAAGTGAATTTTGGTGAAAAGACTTGTAGGATCTATAGATACCTGTTATTACACTGCTAAACATTAACAGAACAGAAAGATCTGACATGACTTTGTATCACACTTCTGTACACTTTTGTCCTCCAGCCAGTCAACTGTTGACTGCAGTACACTGATTGGACAAAACAGAGAAACTATTGTAAGCGAAGGGCTGGAAAAACCAAGAGGAATCGCAGTTCATCCTCTGGCAAAGTGAGTATGCCGGTAACCACACGGGACACACCAAAACTTTTTTCATCACCAGGAGAAGCTCTGCCTTGTAGTTTTATACTGAAAAGACCAAGGGTATTTTTATATAATTATCTTACCTTTAACCTTTTTTTTTGTACCTACTGTGAGGCAATATCATCACCAACAGGCTGTTTTAATTGTTGCATCACAAATTCAAATACAATTTTCACTATACATTTCAAATTCTGCACATAACATGTCACACCTTGGGAAAACTTGCTTTACTATATTTTTAAACAACTAAATTTCAAATGAATGCTACGCCGTGAAGATGGACACACTAGAAGCATTAAAATGTTTACATTTTTAAAGAAAAATATCTATTTAATGTACTTTTTTGGTTTTGTTTTGAGGAAGGTGTTCTGGACTGACATAGGTGCTCGGCCTGTGGTGGAAAGTGCATCTTTGGAGGGGAAAGATCGTGCCGTCGTTGTTGGCACTAACCTTGTGTCGCCCAGTGGCCTGACCATCGATTTCACGGTGGATCGTCTGTTCTGGTGTGACCAGAGGAAGGGCCTGGTGGAGTCTGCCGCTTTGGATGGCTCAGACCGACGGATCCTGTTAGAGAACCAAGTAGGTGAGGCTTGTGTGAAGCATACTGTAAACATGTAGAGAAGCATTGTACTGGGAAAAAATAATATAACTGAGCCTTAGAAACAATCACATAAGATAATAAAGCACAACTAAAGGCTGACAATGTAGAGTTGGAATCTACAGTGTGTGCCACTTAAGTTGATGTAGTCCACCCATATCTGATGGGTGTTCACCTAAATCTGACAAAGACTATATCCCAGTTCCTGCATTTGATCACCGCTCGCTCCTCAAATCAAGTTGGAAGTCGTTCCAGTGCATCATCTTGAAGAATATCCCAAAGTTCGTATTCTTGCTCTGAGGAGCAAGGATCAAGGAGTGAGGAGGCTGACTGGAGGAGACATGAGCAAGGACATAAACCATCCTTTGCAGAAGTCTTTTATGGACTGACAAGCCTCTATATCAGATATCAGTTGGTGATTGGAAGCTTCGGATAAAGGATCGGAGGACAAGCTATCTCATTTCTCGTTTCCTTGATTGCTCCCTTCTCACATTTTTTTCTTGCATCTTACACTTTACTAACAGAAGGAGAAGATACAAGTGAGGGAAATATGGAGGCAATTAAGGGAATTGGGATGGACCCCGAGTATACCTTAAAGTCTGACAATGTAGAGTTAAGCCTAACAAATTAAGACTCAGATGTTTTGAGTAACCATCATAGAACAGGAAGAAAATGCCACACGTGTGCTGTGGATTTAAATTAAAACTGTGTGTCTTTTTCACAAATGTATCTGTGGCTGTGGGAGTCTGCAGAGAAACATAATACCTTGTTTGGAAAGCTGTCAAAATGCTCATCACATAGATCTTCCAATAATCCATATTATAATTTCAATGATGCCCAAGTAGACACATTTGTATCAGTGTTCTCCAGTTTATTTCTTCATTCAGTGAAGCCCCCACTTAACTGTTTTGAAATTGCTCTTCTTGTTAGTTCTTGACTTCACTGTATTCACTGAGTTAACAACTGAACAAACGGAAAATAACTCACCTGGCATCACCTAGTTCACTGAGGTCTTCTACTGCTTCTCTGATTGGTCCAGGTCGACCTTTTGACCTTGCAGTATTTGAAGACTGGCTCTGGATCTCTGATCAGGAGCACCAACAGCTGAGGAGCGTGCACAAGCAGACGGGGAAGAAACAGCAACACATCCATGGTAACATGGTCCAACCAGCATCCATTGTGGTGGTTCATCCCCTTTCTAAACCAGGTACAAAGACATAACAATGATGAATTTGTACAGAATTTAAACACCGAGGTTTAAAGACACAACATGTAGCAACGCCAGCACAAGCAATATCAAAAGGCAGGGGCTGTATACAGTAACCTGCTGCCCCTTTTGACTTTTCCTTTCTACTGCATCCGTATCTTCAGGAGCAGACATTTGCCTTTACCTGAACGGAGGCTGTGCCCAGATGTGTGAGAGCAAACTTGGGCTGGCTCACTGCTCCTGTCTGTCACACTACACCCTATCAGCTGATGGAAAAGGCTGTTTGCCTGTTGACGCTTCAAATGGAACAGCAGGTGATTTATCTTATCCTGTCCTACTGCAGGTGTAGACACCTCTGAATATGACGTGAAGCAAAACGCTATTGAGCACTAATGTTAACTTTATGTATTAATTGCACAGAATCTGGAGACACTGATTTAACAACTTTGAAAAATAAAACATTTAAAAATGAGAGCACACTAATAACAACGCCTGGGCTGTCGACTGATAAAGGGGAAGCTGATTTACACTCTGTTGTGAGCAGTGAGCCAATTCTCTTCACAGACAAAATGATTTCAGGTAAAAGTGCACCTTTAAATGAGTTGTTGTTCTTAACCATTCAGCAGCTTACTCTAACTAAATGTTTTGTTTCCATATGCCCCCTTCCCTGTCAGACCAGAATGAGTGTTACTCACTCCGCTGTGGTGCCAATGCCCAGTGCCTGCTCAAAGCTGGCAACCCAACCTGTTTTTGCCTAGAAGGATTTACAGGTGATGGGCAACTGTGTGTGGGTAAGTATTTCTACTTCTGCATTGTGACTGTGTCTCAGAGGGATGAAGTTACATAACCTGAGGAAGGTTTATGACATAGCGTTAAACATAGAAGCTTATCTCACTTTCTGTAGCAGGATTTTAGACCCTAGGCTTATATCTTAGTATAACAGAGACTGAGTACTGGACATGGAGCAGAACCAGGTTTTTGATGTAAAAACAATATCAAGACACAAAATAAACATTAATGAAGGAGCTAAATTTTGAAATGTACCTCTTCCAATAATTCCTATTATAATTTGATTTACAGGCCACTTTGCGTGTTAGTGGGTTTGTATCCTAAGCAGTAGTCAACAGTTAATGTGTCAGCCAGTCGAGCAGATGGATAGAACAGTATTTTCCCCAGTTGTACCAGAGAAGTTCCAGTCTGCTTATAAGAAGCTGTCTGACAGTAATGCTACTTTCAGTCACCTTGATGAGATGGTACCAAAAAGATGAGGCTGTGCATAAAATTGCATACTTGTATACGATAGATTTACCAGTTGATTCTCCTTTGTCATGTTTTTTTTAAGATATGGATGAGTGTAAACAGGGAACACACAATTGTAACAAAAATGCAGAATGCCAAAATACTTTGGGGAGTTTCCTCTGCAAGTGTCGGGCTGGATACAGCAGCAATGGCCAGACATGTCGAGGTGAGTGTTGTAAATATTTACTGCAACTATAATTTTGAGTATCATGTTTTTTTGTCTAGTTAGATTATTACAATGTCAGACATTAAAACCAGAGTAATTGTATTTGTACTTGCCACTGATTATCACACATGCTATGCAAGGTTGTGAGATCTTAGGATGAAAATCAATAAGTGGAGGCTTTAATCAAATCTGATTCAATATCCTGCTCCACAGCAACACATCCCCAGTTCTAATATATAAGCCCTTATTACAGATTGAATACAGTTGTTTATACGAGTCAGAAATAGTAGTATTTCAAACAGCAGACTATTATGCAATTAGAGACACAACAGTGCCATGCTGTATATTTGTCTAATTTAACCACATTATATCCCAAATCCTCTCAAGAACTGGAGACCACATCTCCATGGGTGACGACCGGTAGCCCTGCTGATGTCTCTACCCAGCACCACAACAGTAACTCAGCAGAGAGCTGTCCCTCCACCCACGAGTCCTACTGTCTGTACCAGGGCATCTGCTTCTACTTTCCAGAAATGGAGTCTTATGCTTGCAAGTAAAAAAAAAAAAAAACCTCTTGTTTAACCCTTCAGTGTGACCCCTGACCTCCAAGTTTAATGGTCTACTGATAGCCTGTGCTCAGAGGTGGTGTTGGCATTTCCCTGTCTGGTCCTATTATAAGCTGCTATCCAGTTAACAGTGTTCATACAGAGTAGGCTACCTCAAACTGTGATCAGCAGCATATTTAAGCCATCTCTGGGAAGTATTCCCCTTTAGATTTCATTGCTTGTCCCATTACATTTCAGTTTGGAATGAAACCCAACCAACTTTAGCTCTGTCTCTGATGTTAAAAGAGGTGACAAGCAGTAGGTGTCACTATTGTTCCATGGTTAGAGCTGCACCATCATAACAAAGTGGCTATGCTAGAGGGGATTCATAGTTTGTTTTTTATGCACACAAAATAATAAAATTATCTACATCTCTAACGGGAGGCCCTAGAATCCCCCCTTGCACTGTTTAATACCACTGCTCACGATAATATTCTTTTCATAAATATGTACTTTGCAGTTAATTTTTTGGTTACATAAATCTATAGCCTTCAACAAGTGCATTCATTCAGACCGTCATAATATACTTAAATGTATTATTTTAAATGTATGAGTTTAATTAATTTTGCATTGTGTTATATAATGCTGCATGTGCACATGACCTACTAAGTTAAACAAGTATTGCTCAACTAAAGATGTTGATCATTAAGTACATAATTGGGCAGCTTGCTTTTCCCATGTACACCTGCAAAATGAAAAAGAAAGGCAGACATGGCAGGCACCCTAAACACAAAATCTGTGTTTAAGAAAAATTAAATACAGCATAAAACTGTCTGTACCTCTTGCAGTTGTGTATCAGGCTACATTGGGGAACGTTGTCAGTTCAGCGACCTGGAGTGGTGGGAGCTTCAGCAGGCCGAGGAGGAGAAGCGGAGGAATGTGGTCATTGCTGCCTGCATGGTGGTCCTCATCTCCCTGCTCTCCCTCGCTGCTTGTGTCACCTACTGTTACGGGTAAGAGTGGAGACGGAGAAGAAATTATATAAGAAAATGAAAATAAAAAATTAACAAAAACGGGGGCAGAGATAAGAAGGGAAGGGAAAAAAGACTGAAAAATTAGGAAATGTAATAAAACTAGAATGTGATGTTCTATTTTCAGTAAGACATGCAAAGAATGTGCAAATTAAAAATTGAAATCTTACCAATAAAACAAAACAAAACATTCAAATATTACCAAAAAAATGCTTGTTCAAAACCAAATGTCATATGTAGTCAATTCCTTAATTGGTTATCCCTAAGAACAGTGTAATGCAAAAGTGCATATACTGAGAGGCCAAAGCCCTTAAGAGCTCTCTTTACAGTACGAGTTTTATTTAAATGGTCAGAGTCCCATAATGATCTTCAAAGGTTTCCACCATTATGACAAAATATGTATTCTGGAACACTCTGTTCCTGCAATGAATGAGCTGACAGTGTTTACAGATGTCTATCAAAGTCAGGGTGGCATGAGCCATGTAATGTAGGTGTGTCAGTTTGACAGCAGGGGGTCGAGGAGCAGATCACATGTGGAACGAATGGCAGCATGCAAGCCTGGCTAGCTGAGCGAGGAGCTTACGTAAATACATACCGTGACCCCCCCTCCTCCCTTTTGTTTCCACCTGAGTTGTCTCTGAGTAGCTGATTTGTTTTACGGATGTTTCGCTGGCTTACGGACAAGCCTGTTGGCATCCTCCACTCTTTTGACTCACAAAGTGCGCCCCTCCCCTCAGCCCACTACATCCTAACCTTGGCTGTTGTGGTTTCCCTGTGGAAGTGGCACGCTTTCAATTACATGCTTGATTTAGCTTGTTCTACAGCAATTACACATAAAAATAGGTCATTTCTCAGATACAAAATGGAGCCGGTGAGGTATGACCCCAGTGGAAATGCTACATGGTCGCCAATAGCTCTGCCTAAAATTGCCTTCTGTACTTGAGTGCAAGTGCACTTGTGCAGTTTTAGAGTTTGGTGGTTGCTGTTCCTATGCAACACACACACAAAGTATTATAGAGTACAGAGTGCTTTTTGGGGGTGGGGGGTGGGGTCAAATCAAAACACACAAACCTGTTGCATGCTGTCTTTTTAAGCTCAAGCATATAAACAAATATATTAAAAGCACAGAGTAAACCACTGCCCACTACTCTCCCTCCCTCTTCTGGTTGTTGGACCCTCATTCTAGATGTTTTGGACCTGGATCTTTTTTCTTGTGCCCCCCACAAATTTGCTAATCCAGATTTATCCTCTGTGATAACCAAGTAGGTAAGAGATCAGACATGCTAATGCTAATGAACCAAAACATTCATTGCATCTGAAATTGTCAGAACATTCTAATTCTATTTGGTCATATAGGCTACTATGTAGGTGGGATTGTACTGATAAAATACAATGAACAAGTCATATAAAGCACTTTTTTTCCTCCTCTAACACCAATGTATGAATATTTATATGTTCATTTATATGCTGAGAGAGAGTGAGGACCCCTGGGATTTCCAAATAATTATTATATGTGACTTGTGTGGCTTTACATTCATCTTTACAGAACTAGAAGACTCTTCCACAAACAGCCCTCGGTGGATAATGTGAGTGAGAGCAGCCTGACAGATGAGAACATGTCAGAGACCACTACTACCAGTGTGCCTCAGGTAAGACCACCATCACCACCGAGCTCTGTCAAATACACCTTTAAGTAAAGGAAGGCATCCAGTGAATTAGAGATTCATTTGACTTAAAGTACAATCATAGCTTTGCTTTGAATACCTGTGGCCTTTGCATAACATACTAGTTAACCGTAGGAAGTTCCAAATTAGTTACATCCAATTAAAAGCAGAATTTTTAAAGAGCAAAGTGTTATGCAGACTCAAACCCAGTTTGGTTGTTTGAAGACACCATGATAACATTTGACAGCAAACAAAAAATATTAAAATGTTTATAAAACTAGGTGCAACTAATGATTATTTCCATTAGCAATTAATCTGCTGATAATTTTCCTACTATGATTGATCCATCATTTAGATTATAAAACATCAAATAGTCACGAGCGCCCACCACATCGCTGAGCCAAACTAAAACTCCAAACACCTCAAAAATATTTAGTTTACATTAAGACAAAGAAGCACATGAGAACTTGGAATTAATCAGTATATGGCATCGTTTGTCTTGACTTAAAAATTGACTGAAATGGTGAAATGATTCTCAAAAGAGCTGCCAATAATTATTTATGTCAGTCAACTTAACTGAATAATCAACTAATTGTTTCAGCTCTAATTTAAAAAAACTCTCTACTTGATGGACTACTGTATGAATTTGCAGTTCTACATGCTTGTAGAAAGAAAAGACATCCCTGCCGTGGACTTTCTCCAGGGAGTCTGTCCATCCTGCTCTTCAGAAACAGGTACCTGAAGCTGACATTGATCTTATTCATTGTATCTACTTACAGCTATAATAAATATTCAACTACACTGTGAGAAAGTTTTTTTGTTTTGTTTTTATGCGTCTGAAGAGTCAGCGACTTTATCTGAAAGCAACAGAGGGTATGAGTGTTCCCTGGTGTCTGATATTGCCAAGGAGATCATCGACCCCACTGTCCATCACTCACTTCCATCACTGTCAAGCTCTTTCAGACCAACATCGCTCTCCCAGGCTCCCAGCCCAGAGGCCCCTGCTTCCTAGCACAGTGGAGAGACAGCTGTGTAATATCTAGCTGATGTATGAACTGCAAATGAACAGTTTCATTCCAACATGAAATCCAACTCCAAAAGAAGAACTGCAACTGAAACTTTTGCAAAACACAAGAAGTAATTTGTGGCATTTTTATGGAAACATAAATCATATTTAATGGTGTTGTAAATACAATAGATTGACACAAGCTTTTCACCAGGCCAGCACATGTAAGCTCTTGTTAACACTTGGTAGCAAAAATGGAAACTACAGCTACAGTTTAAAGTGCAAAGCAAACACCACAGCAACAAAGGCTCTCTCCCTGAAAGAGAAGAAGATTGTAGCTTACCAATAGAAGTGCACCTCCTCAGGTGTTCTCAGTATAAACTGAAAGAGTTGTGTCTCAGTTTTTATGTTAAAAATTAGTAAGTTCAGTAATAAAATATATTTTGTATCCTAAACCATTGTCCAAAATATGAGGTAAAAATCTTCCTTATACTAATTAACCCGACACTGTCGGTGACAACAAAATGTACTCTTATATACACAAAGAAGCTGAAAGATCAGTTTAAATTTAGCTAAAGCTGTCAACTAGATACCAGGACTGTAAGTCATGTGTCTGTGTTTTGAATGTTTTAAGAACAGGAATTTACTTCACTCACGATGAGGCTGACTACTAAAAACATTAAGACTGTGCAGGAGGTTTCAGAATGTTTTTATGCATTTCACCTGCCACTGAATATGTGAGCTTGACCAACCTTCCTACAAGGATCAACTGAATGACAAAGGTTTTCCCTTCAGGTATGGTTTGGCAGACTGTGGTAACCCAGTTTTTAAGATTTGATTAGAAACAATAGGTTCCAGTTTGGTGTCAGGATCACTAAAAGGGTTTGTTGCAACATATTGCCAATCAATTCAAACTGATGAAATGACATGTAAACAGTACAAACACAAAAAGCACAACACAGTAGCACAACCGTGATAATTTAGCCAAACATAACAGCTACCACATTAGTCAACTACCCTGAGAACTGTGATACTGTGAGCAAAGTGTTCACTATATTTATTTTTTACACAAAATCTATGCATATCATTGCCAGAGTTCTACTATGTGCTTTTAGAAATAGAAGGGTAAAATGAACTGGGTCAGAAAAGGGAAGGTATCTTGCTACTGACTTCTGTCTAGTGTCTTTGCAGTATGAGTTTTTAGAAGTACTAAACAGCAAAACAGGTAATATTTATTAGTAGAGCACAAGCAACACCCTGCGCTCTCATTTGTGCTGTTACAACTCTGTTTCTGTATTATTTTCAGCACCTATATCTGGAACTAGAAAATTGCGAGATGTTTTTATTTCTACTAATAAAACAATGTTCACAAAAATGGCCTATTATTCAAACTAAACTTTAGTCATTTTCTTTATAATCCACTTTTCTTTGCAATATACACTTTTCTAATGGCATTACTTTTTTTTTTTGGAAAGATTATTTTTGCAATCCACAGCCGGTCTCTGTCACGTTACACGCCATCACACTCTTCTTAAAAGCTCTTGCACGTGCTCCACTGATGCTACTTTTCTATCCTCCACCAAAATCTAACTCTGTAGTGATGTTGGTGCCAGCGCTGCCACCCTCAACCGCCACTACTCCATCATTTCTATTTCTATCTCTGTCTGCAACTCCGTCTCAAGGTTCACTGGGAATTGTTAATAGAAGGACCCGCAGCCTCTTTGTTTCGAGGCAGTGGCAGAAAACAAAGCACTTTAACTGAAACCCCATCAGGGGCCACATCGATATTGATTTTCTTGGCAAGACACACTTATCTATATATTGGCCTCCATTAGGAGTAACAGAATAGGGCACCACTCTCAACAGCAGCAGATCAGCCTTCCAATAAAGATGAAATTGGGCCGAGTGTCAATTTATCTTGTATTGCTCCTCAACTGGGGCAACAGGGGGCAATAGAGTCACTGACACCGTAAGCAACAAAAGTCTCTAGGGGCCTTTTGTAAATCATTTTTGGAGGGGGCGTTGTTTTAAATGTCATTTTTAAATACATGTTGATCTTATGGTGCTTTCTTGTCTGCAGCTTGAATGTGCTTGAATTACCTCGCAGCCTTTTAGAGTAGCATCCCATAGGTTTGTCCTTCAAATCAACGCATGCTAAAAAACGCTCAGGCAGCGCGGGTGGGGCTCTGTTCTCTTGTTTATCATAGTTATAGTTCTGCAAAGAACTGGCAGTAGAAAAGCTGACTACATGAACAACAACACTAGTCAAAAGGTTGTGAAGTCAAGTGACTTGGTTAAAGGTAGATAAAGATGGTTGGTATCTCCTGTTCTTCAGTTTGACTCGGTGGTGACCATTCAGCTGATTTTTTTTGCATGCTTTAATAAAATCATAAGAAACAACTGAGCTTATTGTTTCCTTCTCGCCACTTTTATTAGTTTTGCCACAACAAAGTAAAAACTGCGATGACTGGGGGTAGATGTATTATGATGTTTCACTCCTGATTTTCTCCAAAGCACGAGCCAAACAAAAATCTGTTTCTAATACTGAGATACTTACTTGGTATTGCAGCCAAATAGCTGATGTTACTGTAGTACTAAACACTACTGCTACTAATATAATAACAAATTTAAAAGCTAAAAATGCTCTATTTTGTTAGTTAACATGAACAATGTCTATGCACCAAATTAAGAATCTGGGTTAGGAGGCAAGTAATTAGCTCCCCATCTCAACTCTGATCTCGAGATGGAGACCTCTAACAACATGTGGGATTAACATCTCAAAGACAGACACTATAAAAATAAACAAACTGCAAAATGTAAAGCTCTCAGAAACAGAAAGAAAGACACCAGCTGCAGCTACATATCTGCCGGTTTCACCCAGCGTTCTTCTCACATTATTTGATGTTGATATTTACAAGCTTTATATTTTTATTTTATGGCTTCAGGTGTTGGGGGTTTGAATTTGTCAAAGAACTATCACAGAGACACAGAACAAAAAGGCAATAAACACAAAGTTATTTAAAAAAAAAAAAAAGCAAATTTAAACAAGGAGAAAGAAGACAAGTGTTTATATAAAACTACAAAAAACAATATTTCCATTCTGTCTCCATTAGCAAATTTTGTATTTTTTCTGCCAGATGGGGCTAGCTTTGCCTTATCGCTCATGTCTCCATCCCAGCCCGGAGGACAGCTGATGAGGGCTAAGGAGGGAATTAGCTACCCACTCAAAGGCTTTGCTCTGATCCTTCAGGTCAGTATTTGGTCCCCCCAGCTCTTGAGGACAGAGTGACAGTAGTTTGGCAGGATTAAAATCAAAAGGGGAGGGGGGGTCTAATGCATGTATTGGACAGAGACACATGAGCCACAATCTACGGGTGTGCCACAGAGGAGGGAAAGTCCCAAGTCTGGGAGCTCCCTCCGTAGTTTTGTCTCCTGGGGGGCAGTGTGACGGAACATGCTGAGTACACTGATCTAAAGCCTGAAAATGCGGCAGCCAAACCCCGACATCAAACACAACGTATTTGCTTAAAAAGCTGCAGATTAATTATGTTGATCGACTCTTTGATTAATCAACTAATAATTGCAGCTCAAGTTTAAAGCTGACCGTTCATGCAAACTGTAACAAGTATTCACGCTCTCCTGTCTTCTTGTGAGGGTAAATGCTTCAAATGAAACCCTCATTTATCCAGGTCTGATATTTTCTCCATGATGTGGAGGAGAGCACATCATATACGAGCAACAGGCCTCAGATATCATCTAAAGTCCATGTTTAAGAAAAGTTTTAGGTCAGGTTACTATTTTGCCTACCTTACCGACATTTTTACAGCCAGGACACACTCACAAATAAGACATTAGAATAGGGAAGTTATAAAGCTACATTATCAGAAAGACTGCAACAAGGAGTCCTTAGATTAATTCTGGGAGATGATTTATCCATTTCTTTCCTAAGGTTTTATATTTCAGGCTGAGCTGTCTTGTTCCAGCAGATGGCGATAGCATATAAAGAAACACTCTTTATGCTGGGACGACCTGGAGAAACTGTGACAGGTATATTATCAGTATTGGTAGCTGTACCAACTCCAAATCAACAATGATTCCTTAGTCCATCACTAAAAGGTAAAACTCTGATATGACACATTATCAGTTTTTTATGTAAAAGACAGGTGGCTACTGTGACCTGGGAAGTGCAAACCCCTCCCATCTGACAAGAGTAAACCTGTTGCACACAGACTAATAAAACAATTCACACTTGGATTTAGTTAAGATTAAGAAGGCACAGTAAAGTAATGCACCTCTTGGCACTGCCACAGACGTATATGATCACAACAAACCAGACAGCTGTCTGCGGAGGATGGGACTGTCTGGGTTTTAACTCTTCTCTGGGGGATCAGATCTTATTATGGCTGTCTAGAAAAGGGTGAAAAACTAATGAAATGTAAATCAAATTAAATTTAGACCACTGTCGCAAAAGCAACATTCATGACATCTTCCTGCAAAAATCTCAATTTAGTCTTCTTATGCACTCCTTTGGGCACATGAATATGCAGGATTGGAATTTCTGACATGTACCCCTCACTGTCCCTTCTTCAAAATTATATTTCATTAAAAAAATAATAAATGCTAGGGTTAAAAATATTCTCAAGAACAAATCCTTTTCCTTTTCCAATCAAAAATAAGAAATACTACCTGTCCACAATACTAAGTTTCAAAATATCTACAGCATATAACAAATTATCAGACACTTTTAACGCAATTTCACAACCATTCTGGGAGTCAAACCCACAGACCAACTCCACAGCCTCAACTGTAACCCTGTCTGACAGCATTCACTACAATGAATTGTAATAAATTATATAACATATGATACAAAAGCTATTCAGTCAACACTGATTAAGTTCTTTGGGATGGGGGAGAGACTTCAAGGCTCTTCTTCTAATCACTGCATTCCTTCATTGTACTACTGTACTATACCACATATTGTATATCCAGCAGTTTCTTTGGCTTGCAACACACATGCATCCACGCAGAGGCGCTTGACTTACAAAAACTTTTACATGATAGCCATTTTGAGACGCAACTGCAGAAAAAAAATGATATACTTTAACCGTTTAATGGCTGCGTTCCACTTCCAGGCTACTGTGTGTGCTGTTTCTACTGGCGTGCATTACAGGAATGACTGGAATGGAAATGAACTCATATTGTAGTCAAACATTCTTGAGTTAGCCTAATGTTTTAAAATATCACACACCTCACTTCCTTTTGAACCTCGCTACTAACCCAAGTTCGTGCTCCCCACTTCTCCAGGTTTCACTGTAGTTTATAGCCTGCAGGGCCTCATTTTAAACATTTCCTCATTCGCACGGCCACAGACCATTAGCTGGCTTAGTATTACCCACAGTTTGCCACATGTGGGGAACTGGGGATAATTCAAATGCAGGTGCAGCAGGATTTGGGTAATACTTTACTGGTTAAGCCCATTAGCTCAGTTACTTGGGTAACATATGCTGTCTATACCTGCCACTGATTGGTTTTATTCAGTGATGACATACAGTATTGTTCAAAATAATAGCAGTACAATGTGACTAACCAGAATAATCCAGGTTTTTAGTATATTTTTTATTGCTACATGGCAAACAAGTTACCAGTAGGTGCAGTAGATTCTCAGAAAGCAAACAAGACCCAGCATTCATGATATGCACGCTCTTAAGGCTGTGAAATTGGGCAATTAGTTGAAAGGGGTGTGTTCAAAAAAATAGCAGTGTCTGCCGTTGACTGTACAAACACAAAACTATGTTGTACAAACGTTTTTGTTTCTAGGATTTAGCAATCCTGTGAATCACTAAACTAATATTTAGTTGTATGACCACAGTTTGTTATAACTGCTTCACATCTGTGTGGCATGGAGTCAACCAACTTGTGGCACCTTTCAGCTGTTATTACACTCCATGATTCTTTAACAACATTCCACAATTCATTTACATGTCTTGGTTTTGCTTCAGAAACAGCATTTTTGATATCACCCCACAAGTTCTCGATTGGATTAAGGTCCGGGGATTGGGCTGGCCACTCCATAACATTAATTTTGTTGGTTTGGAACCAAGACTTTGCTCGTTTACTAGTGTGTTTGGGGTCATTGTCTTGTTGAAACAACCATTTCAAGGGCATGTCCTCTTCAGCATAAGGCAACATGACCTCTTCAAGTATTTTGACATATGCAAACTGATCCATGATCCCTGGTATGCGATAAATAGGCCCAACACCATAGTAGGAGAAACATGCCCATATCATGATGCTTGCACCACCATGCTTCACTGTCTTCACTGTGTACTGTGGCTTGAATTCAGAGTTTGGGGGTCATCTCACAAACTGTCTGTGGCCCTTGGACCCAAAAAGAACAATTTTACTCTCATCAGTCCACAAAATGTTCCTCCATTTCTCTTTAGGCCAGTTGATGTGTTCTTTGGCAAATTGTAACCTCTTCTGCACGTGCCTTTTTTTTAACAGAGGGACTTTGCGGGGGATTCTTGAAAATAGATTAGCTTCACACAGACGTCTTCTAACTGTCACAGTACTTACAGGTAACTCCAGACTGTCTTTGATCATCCTGGAGCTGATCATTGGCTGGGCCTTTGCCATTCTGGTTATTCTTCGATCCATTTTGATGGTTGTCTTCCGTTTTCTTCCACGTCTCTCTGGTTTTGCTCTCCATTTTAAGGCATTGGAGATCATTTTAGCTGAACAGCCTATAATTTTTTGCACCTCTTTATAGGTTTTCCCCTCTCCAATCAACTTTTTAATCAAAGTACGCTGTTCTTCTGAACAATGTCTTGAACGACCCATTTTCCTCAGGCTTTCAAATGCATGTTCAACAAGTGCTGGCTTCATCCTTAAATAGGGGCCACCTGATTCACACCTGTTATTTCACAAAATTGATGACCTCACTGATTGAATGCCACACTGCTATTTTTTTGAACACACCCCTTTCAACTAATTGCCCAATTGCACAGCCTTAAGAGCGTGCATATCATGAATGCTGGGTCTTGTTTGCTTTCTGAGAATCTACTGCACCTACTGGTAACTTGTTTACCATGTAGCAATAAAAAATATACTAAAAACCTGGATTATTCTGGTTAGTCACATTGTACTGCTATTATTTTGAACAATACTGTACACTGACTATAGTGACTCAGGTGACACCAGAAAGTGGAATTTTAGGCAAGATGGCCAGTAGGTATGCACTGTAGCCTAATTACTGACACATAAGGGCCATTGAATCAGTGTTGACATACGTATATGCTCACATGTATGAACCCAGATGAATCATATCAGTTGGTCAAACTTCAAGCATGTCTTAAAAGACATAAAGGCCTGGTCGACTTGTAATTTCTAACCTCTAAACTGTGACAAAACTGAAGTTATTGTACTTGGGCCTGAAAACCTTAGACATCTGCTGTCTAATCATATAGTTACTCTAGCTGACATAGCTCTGGTCTTATACTGCTGTGAGGAACTTTGGAGTCATTTTTGACCAGGATGTGTCCTTTAAATCACTTTTTCCTCCCCGCTGTCACCAAGCGCTTGCTCAAGGGGGATTTGTTGGGTTTTCCTCTATACAGTGCCTTGCGAAAGTATTCGGCCCCCTTGAACTTTGCGACCTTTTGCCACATTTCAGGCTTCAAACATAAAGCTATATAACTAATTTTTTGTGAAGAATCAACAACAAGTGGGACACAATCATGAAGTGGAACGAAATTTATTGGATATTTCAAACTTTTTTAACAAATAAAAAACTGAATAATTGGGCGTGCAAAATTATTCAGCCCCTTTACTTTCAGTGCAGCAAACTCTCTCCAGAAGTTCAGTGAGGATCTCTGAATGATCCAATGTTGACCTAAATGACTAATGATGATAAATAGAATCCACCTGTGTGTAATCAAGTCTCCGTATAAATGCACCTGCACTGTGATAGTCTCAGAGGTCCGTTTAAAGCGCAGAGAGCATCATGAAGAACAAGGAACACACCAGGCAGGTCCGAGATACTGTTGTGGAGAAGTTTAAAGCCGGATTTGGATACAAAAAGATTTCCCAAGCTTTAAACATCCCAAGGAGCACTGTGCAAGCGATAATATTGAAATGGAAGGAGTATCAGACCACTGCAAATCTACCAAGACCTGGCCGTCCCTCTAAACTTTCAGCTCATACAAGGAGAAGACTGATCAGAGATGCAGCCAAGAGGCCCATGATCACTCTGGATGAACTGCAGAGATCTACAGCTGAGGTGGGAGACTCTGTCCATAGGACAACAATCAGTCGTATACTGCACAAATCTGGCCTTTATGGAAGAGTGGCAAGAAGAAAGCCATTTCTTAAAGATATCCATAAAAAGTGTCGTTTAAAGTTTGCCACAAGCCACCTGGGAGACACACCAAACATGTGGAAGAAGGTGCTCTGGTCAGATGAAACCAAAATCGAACTTTTTGGCAACACTGCAAAACGTTATGTTTGGCGTAAAAGCAACACAGCTCATCACCCTGAACACACCATCCCCATTGTCAAACATGGTGGTGGCAGCATCCTGGTTTGGGCCTGCTTTTCTTCAGCAGGGACAGGGAAGATGGTTAAAATTGATGGGAAGATGGATGGAGCCAAATACAGGACTATTCTGGAAGGAAACCTGATGGAGTCTGCAAAAGACCTGAGACTGGGACGGAGATTTGTCTTCCAACAAGACAATGATCCAAGACATAAAGCAAAATCTACAATGGAATGGTTCAAAACTAAACATATCCAGGTGTTAGAATGGCCAAGTCAAAGTCCAGACCTGAATCTAATCGAGAATCTGTGGAAAGAACTGAAAACTGCTGTTCACAAACGCTCTCTATCCAACCTCACTGAGCTCGAGCTGTTTTGCAAGGAGGAATGGGCAAAATTTAAGTCTCTTGATGTGCAAAACTGATAGAGACATACCCCAAGTGACTTACAGCTGTAATCGCAGCAAAAGGTGGCGCTACAAAGTATTAACTTAAGGGGGCTGAATAATTTTGCACGCCCAATTTTTCAGTTTTTTTATTTGTTAAAAAAGTTTGAAATATCCAATAAATTTCGTTCCACTTCATGATTGTGTCCCACTTGTTGTTGATTCTTCACAAAAAAGTACAGTTTTATATCTTTATGTTTGAAGCCTGAAATGTGGCAAAAGGTCGCAAAGTTCAAGGGGGCCGAATACTTTCGCAAGGCACTGTAATAATAGTGATAATCTTAAGGTCTAGACCTTACTTTGTAAAGTGTCCTGAGATGACTTTTGTTGTGATTTGGCGCTATACAAATAAATCTGAATTTGACCGTATGTCTACTTATTTAAACAACTGAATATCTAAAAGTGCTGGTCACCCTCGGACCTTTCTAAGCACTGCTGCTTATATAGTAAATCTGTCAGGTAGACTCTAAATTGGCTTTTCAGCTTTAGTACCTGAATACAATGAATAAGTATGTCTAATGTCACAGCTGAGACAAAAAATAAACACCACAGGCACATGTCAAATTTTAGCACTTTTTGTTGATACATTGTTTTTGACATTGATACAGTGCTAATTCACAATAGACACCAAAAGACACCGTTAAAGATACATACATACAGTACTAATTTTTAAAGTCAATACAGCAGATTTTGACAATTTGCATGTTTGATTTTTTTGTTTTGCTAAACATAAATGTGTCTGCCCTCCACCTAAGCTTTCAGTGTCCAACAGACTTTCTTTATTTGCTGGTAGGGACCCTTTAACACCGAGAAGTGTCTGGAAATCAGTGACAAGTCTTTCTTCCAAATGTGGCCAGCAAAGTCTGCAAGGTCATGACAAATAGTGAAACAGGGCACTGCCAGCATGTTTCCCATCATGCCCAGGAGCAGTGTGATCATCTGAGTCAGTCAGCAAGTCCAATCAGTTTCATTCACACTACGAGATGAATTTCAACCATACTGTAAACCAGCACTGATGTTAAACATGTCTACTTCTCTTGATATACATACTATATTAAGAAAGATATAACCTATAACCTGAGAAAATATCACATTTTTCAATGTAAGCCACAGAAGATGCAGTGGGTTTCATCCCATCAGTTCACCACCAACACTCACCAGTGTGTCAAACTTTATTTAAGACAGACTGAAACAAAGCCACAGACACAGGCGACAGATGAAAACAAACTCAGATGCCTTAGGTTAACATTGATTCCATCCATCTTCGTATGCACTGCTGAATTTCTTTTTTTAAATTTATATGCTTATGGCAGATGTATTGTTTTAATCTGGTCATATTGTCTTTTAGGTTTTATATGCAATTTAAGGACATAATGAGCTTAAAAAGGGGCTTTCAGACATCAGATGGACAACTCACGATGGCTTCAGGTCATGGCAACACCGCTTCCTCAGCATCCCTCAACAGGGATGTCACCTCCAATGAGGCTTTGTAGATCTGCAGATTATTAGTAATGCTCAAGCACAGAGCCCTGCCGTCTTCTTGACCCTTCCACCCCCACCCCTTCCAGGCTCTATGCCACCTCTCCACCATCCAAACCCATTCATCCCCTCACTCTCTTTCTGCCTAGTCACTGATCCCTGCTCTTCATTTCCAACTCCCTTTTTCTTCATTATCTCCCTTTATCCATGCTTATGTTTTCTTTTTTTACTTGCTCTTCTTGGTGATGGCTGTAGCCAATGATTTGGACTTGCCAATGTAGGCCTCGAAGAAGAACTGGACAAAGAGCACAAAGTAGCTGAGGTACATGAGGGAGGACCAGACAATGTTCTGCATGTGGGATGGACACTCCTGGCCCTGCTGCATCCACGAGTACACCAGGTAGTTGACCACACAACCCATCAGCATCTGGGTAATCTGGGTCAGTGTGATGAACATTGCAAACTTGCGTGACACCTTGAAGCCAGCTGCCCGCAAGGCATAATACGAGTACATGACGGCATGGACCAAGTAGTTCATGGTCATGAACCATCCGCCGCCAGCCACCATGTCTTTGTAGGAGTACCAGGAATAGAGCAGCACGGTGATGTGGTGGTACCAGTGGAGGAAGATGAGCTTCTGCTTCCTCAGAACAATGAAGAGCGTGTCACCTACAGGTATGATAGAGGATGTTTGGAAGGAAGTTGAGTTGTTTCAGAGATTTGGGAAGTTTATAGAGAGCATGTAGGTAAATAAAACAAAAGCGGGGGGATTACGGGACAGGAAGAAAGAAAATATCATTCTCAATGGCTCATACAAATTGATTCAAGGTGCTCTCAAATACTGGCCAAAAAACAAACAATAAATAATAAAAAAAAAACAACAATAGTGGGGAAAAGGCCTGTCTACCCTTAGGTAAATTACTCTGTCAATTTCATATCATTACTTGCCATGATTTAAAATGGTCTGTATTCCATTTGAGATATAATATTTCTGATTAAACAACAAATTAAAAAGAAAAAGCTTAAGAAAAGAAACTTTATTTATGTATCTCCTTCAAACTGATGTACAGTACAATAGTAAATCTACACTTATTTTAAACAGTCAAACATGACAGTTTATTCTATTCCTGACTATAATGCATCACCCTGTGCACAATGAGACAACATCCAGATAAGAGCTCATGGCATTTCAAGCCCTAAGACATAGAGCTAGGCAAAAAGGAACCACACAGGCAGAAAAGGATGAATTGAGGAAAACAGCTGGTGTCGTGAGCAGTTAATTTACGTTTTATGTGAAATACTATAATATGGCTAGTATACATGACAATGAGTGTTAAGAAGATCTGGACTTACCAAGTTCTGGAGCTTTACTAAGTACAAAGGCGTAAGCCCAGAACTTGCTGACAGGTCCGTTGTAGAAGCTCTGGTCACACACTGACTGTTGAAGCCCTTTCGTCATCAGGATGTACATCATGTAACTTCCAGTGCGGATGGCGCCAAATATACTAGATGGACAAGGACAATACAGACACATCAAATTACTGCAGTGGAATAATGTGTCATTCATTTACCTACTACATATGAGCAAGTTTGTGAATATATAGTATGTCTGCACACAGCAGACTGAAGCACTTACATCAATTACAGCTTTGTTTGTTCAAATATATTATTTGATATCCTATCTGAGTCACATACTTCTACTGCATCAAAATATGCCTTCTCTTTCTGTTAGTAACTGATGTGACAAGCAATGCGCTGGTTAAGACAGCTGGCAACCAAAGTGTGTCTGTGCACAGTATGGACAGACATTGACACCATTTGGGTTTGTCTGCATGTTTGACAATTGTTTTACACTTTCTGTAATTAATAATGTTAATGCTTTCTCACCTGAATACAGCGAGGGTGAGTGACCACAGCACCAGTGGTTTCCTCAGCTCAAACTTCTCCCTCTGTTTCATGACATGGCGACCCCCGAGGATACAGGCAGCGTAGAGGGCAGAGAAAAGAAAAGACTTCTTCCTGAAACACACACACACACACCAAAAAGAGACATTTATCTTTTTTTTTTACTTTTACGTTGGGTTGTTTTCAGCAATAACTTGCTTCATATCCAGTCATATACAGAAAATACTGACCAGCCTATAGTTAGCTACTAAACATGTCCTGCAACACACGGAGTCAGCAAGATACAACTTATTTAATTGTTGCATTTGATCCCAAACCAACCTGACAAGTGAACAACAGCTATTAGTCACTAGGAAAACTCGCTTAACACTAAACAAATCTAAAAGGTGGACTTTTCCCCTATGCACTTTGCTCAAAAGCATTTGTACAGTTGTTATGAAGGAAGCAGTTACAGCACATCAGCTAGTCCTTTTAAACCCAACAAGTCTTTTAAACACAGGTTATACAACCTGTCTTTTACCGCTCCTCCTCCTACAGTGCCACTACTACATACTGATTACAAAACAAGCAATGCCAGAAGTCAAGATTTCATGATTTGACCCCAAACTGTCACTAAATGCTGAGCTTTCAGTTTACAGTTATTGCTTTTATTCAGTTCAGACTCCCACTGTCCTATGACACCTGTTCGCCTTAATGAACTGATTTGTCAGAGATCACTGCTGTGCCTCACGAAGTGGAGGACTTGTGCTCAGGCACCACCTGGTCAATGAATCTGAAGAAAAACATTTCCCAGCTCCCACAGTTGGCTCACAGCAGGTCGGACTTGACAGACTGGATGCTGAGAGACCAACATAAGATAGAGGCATACTGCCTAAAACTAGAGCACTTCTGTCCAAAACACTGTTTGGTCTATTGGACAGAGAGCAGAGAAATTGTTTATAGCAGAGTTAGCCAGAAAAGTTAGAGAAAACAGACTTATGATTGGACTGGATGGCAGTGGGTGTCAGTGAGTAAGGCGTCTGACCTGGGCATACTGTGTTGCATAAAACTAGCCCAAGTATGCTGTTTATATTAGGCCCTGCAGTTTGGAGGTAATGCAAAGAACAACACACAGTAACACTGAAATGATTTACTACATCAAATGTATTACTCAGTGGAAAATGATGAAAGTGTTCTAGTGAAAGCCTTGGGTGTGCAGTACTGTATTAGACAAGACGAAAGTTATAACTCTGGATAAGACAAGTCTAGTCAAAGTCAACTGTCCTTGTAAGATACAGCACACAATCGTCACGCTCACAGAACCATGACATACACAGTGCAAATAGCAATCTAATTCATCCTGCAACCTCAGCAGGGCACAGCGACAACAGCAGTTAGTTTTGCTGATCGGGTGTGTAGCTCGGCATGAAAGGAAAAAAAGGTGCACATTTTGCTTATCCACTAAAAAAAAAACTTGAGAAACATGGCTGCATGATATGCAGGGAGAGAACAATGACAAAACTTGTGTTATCATGCAGCCAATAATGTTGTTTTAGTCACGTCTGTCACAAAATATTGAATTAACCCGATGCTACTTCAAGGTCCTTGCGTGTAATATTGTTGTTGCTAAATATCAGTTAACAGCAATATTTAACTAATAGTCAAGATCTGCCTGATACCGATGCCGCCACAGACGGACTTGGGCCGTCGCCATTTTCTCTGTTTTACCAATTCATTTCAAATATAACCAGCTCAATATATAACAGCAATAACGCAGTCAAGTCAGTGAAGAAGGGGACAAAAGGGGAATAATGGTGTCAGTTGCCTGGAATAATGGACTTCCATGTGCTTCAGGATTCCAAGGGTGGAGGGTGCCACCTTTCTATCCTTGCAGGAAACCCACAAGCTGATGTAGGCCACCTCCAGTGAACAAAAGAAAAAGCAGTCCAGTCAAAGTCAAAAGAAGCAGCTTTCAGAGCATGATAATGAGGCTGGACTGCAGAATGACATCTCAACTACACATGGAGGAGGGGAGAACAGAGCGGCACACAATACACAGCGACCTACATACTGTAATGAGGCCCGGAAGGTTGCAGAGGAGACTCAGCATTCCTCTTCAGTGCACTGCTGTTCAAGCTCAAACGTCAGACTGATTCATGGCTGAAGCAGTGTTTCCGAAGTGTGCAGTATGTTTTTTTTTTTAACATCTAATGATATCCTGCACAGATATACAGAGCATGTATAATTCAGTCACATCTGAACTTGTCACTAGCATATTCATAATCAATTATTCACTTAAAGTTAGACTATGTAAATAACACTTTCTTCAAATCAATTCAAAACTTTATTTCATGGGTAATAAAACCCACATCTGCTCAGCAAGCACAGAATTTGCTTGCTGTGCTATATTTCTTAACAATTTAAATTAAACATTTGACTTGTTTAACTCAGTCTTTAGTTCATTCAGAGATATACATTGTTATAATATTAGGACTGATTCACTTTAAGCTCAAGACATAATAACTTTAACCACCTTTTATAACTTTACCTATAATACCTGATTTATAGGGGTGTAACAAATAACCGATATGAATCGGAAAATCAATTTGAATTAAAACGATACGAGTGCATCGGTAGACGGAGCCCGAATCGGGCCAAATGTGCGCTGAATCAGTCGATGGCCCGATTACAACGTTATATAAGTTTGATGTTGCTGCAAACAAATAAACACAGCGGCATCGGACATGTCAGTGCATGCCAGTTAGTTTTTTAGTTTTGCAGCCTTGTTCTGATGTAACCTGTGTTCCGGCCACGGTAATCTCGTGACAGCATGGCAGACGCAGTTTTTGAGCCAGGTGGGCACATTGAGAGTAACTGCGGCCTCCTGCATAGACGACGACACGGTCTACAACGCACCGTCAAGCTTAAAGTCAAAGGTATGGAGAAAAGGTAGGAAGGTTTGTAATAGTGTCCTGTACGCTGACTTTTCTGTCAGCGTACAGGATTATGCTGAGTATGTGACCAGGTACATTAGTACCTGCATTGACAACGCCGTGCCCACCATACAAGTCAGGAGATTCCCCAACCAGAAGCCCTGGATAAACAGTCAGGTACGCCACATGCTGCGTGCTCGCTCTCATGCATTCAGATTTCTACTGCTGACTCCAGATGGATGTGGCAAGGCCTGCAGCACATCACAGACTACAGGACCACCACCAGCATCATCAGCTCCACAGACAGCCTGCAGGATGACCTCAACACCTTCTACACCCGCTTTGAGACCTCCAGCTACAGCACAGAGAGGAGGCATGTACACACCTCGACCATCCGACTCCCCTCCACTAACTGCTTCATCAGGCCAGATACGCAAAGTCCCGCGGAGCATGGACCCCCACAAGGCAGCAGGACTGGACAACATCCCTGGGAGGGCTCTCAGAGCATGTGCCACTGAAC